ATAAAATTACAATGATGAAGAAAATTTTAAAGATAATCTTTGTTTAGGCCCCTTGGTTGATAAGCTTCTCTTTGATTGCAAAAATTAGAGAAAAAACATTTGATGTTGTCTCATGAATTTTATGGCATGTTGAGAAATCTATAGCTAGTGTATGAGAAACACTATCACTTATAAATGGAAGCTTACCTACATGTTGCGTATTTTGGATCTATTGAAGATCAAAAGCTCGCTTCTAGATATTATGCCTTTCTAGTAGTAAATTTTAGTTAATTAAGAATGAACAACAGATTTTTTTTTTTGTTGTTGAATCTAGCGATGAAGCTAAATACAAAATAATGCCACATGTCTTATGAAATGATTGGATTGAAAGATGTTGAAGAATTTAGGTCTTATGAATTTTATGGCATGTTGAGAAATCTATAGCTAGTGTATGAGAAACACTATCACTTATAAATGGAAGCTTACCTACATGGTGAGTATTTTGGATCTATTGAAGATCAAAAGCTCGCTTCTAGATATTATGCCTTTCTAGTAGTAAATTTTAGTTAATTAAGAATGAACAACAGATTTTTTTTTTTTTTGTTGAATCTAGCGATGAAGCTAAATACAAAATAATGCCACATGTCTTATGAAATGATTGGATTGAAAGATGTTGAAGAATTTAGGTTTCTTGTCACTAGATTTTTGAAGTGTGATAATGATGTGTCAATCCATATTGCAAGCATTCTTATTTTTTATAAAAGAGCTGAGCATATTGTCATTGCATTAGAAATGTCATTTTATCAAAGAAGATCATCACTTCTTGTGTTTGGTAAAGAATAATGGATTACTATCTTTGTAGAGGCTTTGAGATCGCTTTGATTCTCAAATCTGTCGCAAGCTGAATTTTCATTATAATGTGCTTCAACTTGAGCGAAAGTGATATTGTAATGATGATATGTTGTTATTAATTCAATTAGTATTATTTAATAGATTATCATAATTAGATTATACCCTGTATTATTTTTCCTATTCTATTGTTTATATATCTCTATACACATAAACACCAATTTTATTGACAATAGACACAAATCCTTAATAATCTCAACATATATTATCATTTGATATGAATGAAATGGGGTTCTTAGTTTTGCATTAAAAGTGATTAATCTTTGCCTAAATAAAAATTTTGGAATATTAGAATTTTTATCTTTCTTATGATTCTTTTTGCATCTATCATAGGTTTATATTATTGAACCCTATAATCCTAATACATCTTACATTGCCTTTAAATATATCTTAGCAATGCTTTATGAGGTTAATATTTGGTATGGTATGGCTATTGTTTGTGCGATTTGAGATTGGATGTGTTCAATAGAATATAGAAGATGCACCAAAAAAATAGATAGAATTATCGTGAAATGATTGGGAAGGGGAAGGTAGATCAAAGGTTTTAACTTTTAAGACTAGAAACAATTCGAAAGTGTGTAAAATGTGGTAAACTAGAATGACGGGAATGATGATTATTAAGCTAACTGAAATTGTTTGAGGGCTAATGATAATAATGAACTTTTTGCGAACCCCTTAATTCCTTTTGATAACTTTCTGACATCTGACATTGTTCTTGGAACACTTGGCCATCGTTATAAATCTTCAAGTATTTTTCATAAACTATTTTTGATTAACTATAATAAAATGGATTCTGTTCTCACATAGCATTGACCATTAAGATGTCATTATCAGCAAATTGGAATGATCTGCTGCTACAAATGGAATCCCGTCTCTTAAATACATGTCAATATTGTTATTTTTGTACGTCCTTGAACATGGTAATGTCTATGAAGTTGTTTTCATGTTTCAGTGGTATTATTATGTTATTATTATTTTTGTTTGTTCGGCTGTTTTTTTTGCCCTATGCGGAAAGCTTCTTTCATGTTTATCTGGTGTTATTATTTTTTGTTGGGCTTTCTGAGTGGGCTTGGCCTGCAAAGAAGAATTTGAAGAGATCAGTAAGGAAAATATGAATGTGGGAGAAAATAAATGGAGCTAGCAGGATATAAATAAACCAACGTGGGTATTAATGTTTAAGAGACAAATTTTGATTTTAAAAATTTTTATGAGATCTATCGGTGTTTGTATTTATTAAAATTTTAACGCTATTAAGTGAATTTTTTTCAAATATTTTTTCAAGTTAATTTTAATGAGAATTTAACTTAATATGATGAAATATGGACCAATAAAGCAGAAAATACAAAAGATATTAAATGCAAAAGATAAAGAGATCTATCAATTTTGGTCAGTTTGTTTTATTATTAATATCTTAGTTAAAGAGAAGGCATTAATAAAAGGCAAATGTGATTTTAAGAATTTATTAAAAAATAGTTCTTTAAAAAAAGTACTGTTCAAGATTATAATGAAAATAATTTAAGTTTATTGTAGATTGCTTAAAAAGTGAAGGGTTGCGTTTGGTAGTAGACAGTCAATGTAAAACTTGTCGAAAAAATCATGACATGAATCGTTTTCGCTTAGATTGAAAGGAAAATTTTATAAGATGATGAGATTTGCAATGCTTTATGGTGTCAAATGTTGGCCTTTAAAAGAGAAGCCTGAGTTAAGTGTTGCCTAGATGAGAATCATTAGGTGGATGAGTGGCTCTACACTTAGAGACAAAATGCGAAATAAATATATCTGTGATAAGGTTGGTGTAGCTCCAGTGACAGACAAAATTAGGGAGAGTCGTTTTAGATGATTTGATCACATTAAACGTCGACCATCTGATGATCCGATTAGGAAGATGTTTTAAATTCGATTTATGTTACGAAAGGCAAAGGTAAACTTAGGAAGGCTTGAGCTTATTTTATAAAAAAATGATCTTAATTTATTTGAACTAAATGAAAATATGACACTAAATAGGACACAATGGAGAAAAAAGATTCATGTTGCCGACCCCACGTCGTGGGATTAATGTTTTGTTGTTGTTGTTGTGGTTGTTGTTGTTGTAGATTGATTAAAAATAATAAAGTGGAGCAACGTTTGAAGATGTATAAAGATAAGATTTCATGTTAAATGACATATCTATTGAAATTTTAATATCTTATGTCATAATTATTACTTTGAGTTAACTTAATTTTAATAATTTTTAAAATTTATTATAATTATTTTATTGGTTCTTTCATCAATACTAAATTAATTTATCCTAAACCTTGTGTTCTGATACCACTTTTGTCATGACCTGGGCTGAAGCTTGGAATTAACCAAGACGGGTACAAACGATCAGACTGTTTGAAATAAACTTTCTATATTTGCTTACTGTTTAATAGATGAAAGAGTCACTAAACAATTTAAATTAAAACGAGAAATTAAAATTACCTCGTTGATGGTTGTCTCTGTTTTCTAGAAATATTTTCTCTTCTATCATTCATCTTTTAATTATTTAAAATTTACATTAAAAGTTAGTTAAAATAATTGTGAATTAAACAATTCAATAAATACTCATACTTCTAAACTAAAGTAATACAAGGAAAAAAAAGTATTCATGTCAGTTAAGTTTTTTTATAAATCAATATAACTATTTGATATGTTATTCGTAGGGAACTTTATCATTATCATATCAATATTGTTTCATATCTATACAACTGTTACAGGAGACTCCGTATAAAAATTTGTGTCAATTAAAACATATCAATATCAATCTTCTTTTCCATTTACGTGCATGATTACATTAATGTTCTTCCAATAGTACCATCAATGAATGTTCCATTATAGTCAGTCATATACATACAAACAGTCAACATAAATATATATGTTCATCACAGGCTACCATGTTATATAAAACATACACTAAAATGATGAATAAATAGCTACAACATTTGTAATGATATGCCCAATAAGAAAAGAATAGTTCAATAAAAATAAAACATCTATAAATATCATCAACTCCATACATATTTGAGAAGAAATAAATTATTTCCATAGTTTAAAAGTACAAATACTCACCTCGAGTTAGCTGACGAGTTTACGAGCCACGTTTAAATAAACTCAAACTCTAGCTCATTTATTATAAAAACTTGAGTTTTAGTTTGTGGCTCGATAAACTCAACTCGCTACACAAGTCGAGTTCAAGCTGGCTCAACTCATTTACACATCTGAATACAACAAAAAAAAGAATGGGACTTCAGGGGCATGCAGGATGTATGATAAATAGTAAAAAAATTGCTTGTATTAGATGATGGATAAAATTAATGGAATAGGAAAAAAGAAGTCGAAGCAAGCTGTAATATGGATAATTTAAAAAAAAATGCCGAGAGTAGGTTCCCATTGAACACTCAAAATAATCAAATAGAAAATGAGGTCATAAACAAACCCAAATGATGGGATGATGCTATTGATGAAGACAATACATTAAATATGTAGTCATTATTAGGGGGAATTCGGAAAGATGGTGTAACTATTGAGAGAGAGAAAGGGAGAGATAGAGGTAGGCGCTAGGGATAGCAAAAGATGATTGCGAGAGCAGATTGAAAAAGAGTGGTGGCATTTGAGCATTGAATTCCTCAAGCTCATGGATAATCATGGAGGTTCCCTATCTCAGGTTTGATTTTGAGTTTGGAATCATCTTTTGAAATTTAATAAGATTCTTTTTTTGCTCATTGGGTTTGTACAAACATGTTCACCTACAATGCACAACAAAGATTGTAGTATTCACCATTACGACAATAATGTTAAATTAAAGTATTAAAGGATTCGAACAATAAGAGATTTGTCAAAGGTAGCATGATTAGAATGATGATTAATAAAGGTGTCTCAAATTAATTGGGATGAACTAATTGATATGATGATGACACCCTTCCAAAATGCCTTTATATGAGATTATGTGGCTCTTGAGCTGGGATATCTGTTACATGCAACAGAAAAATGAAAGTGACACTGTTAATAATACTTAATTTATCAAATTACTTTATGGTTGCTCATGTGTTGCATGTTCATTTTATTTTAAAAAAAATGTAATTTTCTTTATGCAGTTTACTCCAAAACAAGGGGGCACTCCTAAAAGAAATGAGATAGTCTTCATATCACCAACAGGTGAAGAAATTAAGAATAGGCGGCAGCTGGATCAGTATTTGAGGTCTCATACCGGAGGCCCGCCCTCTTCAGAATTTGATTGGGGAACTGGTAGTCTCACACTTGTTCGTTTATGCATTGACATTCACCGGATGTACCTACAAAAGCACTGATTTTTTTCCTTTTTAGGTTGATTAGGTTATGCGATCTTAATTTGCTTGCATTGGTGGGTTTCTCACAGGTGATACTCCAAGACGATCGGCAAGACTTAGTGAAAAGGTGAAGACACCAGAAACAGAGAAGACGAAGCAGGCTAGCAGCTCAGGCTCACATAAGGGGGTAAAAAGAAAGAAAAATACTGAAGATGGTGGGCACAAAGTAGAGGGAGAGGGATCGGGCTCGCATAAGGGTAGAAAAAGAAACAAAAGTACTGAAGATGATGGACACAAAGCTGAGGAAGAAGTTCCCAAAGATGTGGATATGGAAGAGTCGAAAGATGCTGAAGAAGAAGCTTCCAATGAAGGAATTCATTCCTTAGTTGAGGACTTGGCTGACAAAACGAAGGAGAGTGCTGAAGGGAATGCGGAGAAGCCTGTAAAAGGTCAGGGTGCCATTGAGCATGAGTTAGCTGACAAAGCAAAGGAAAATGATGCGGAGAAAGTGGAGCAGGATGTGAAACAGTCTGAGGGAAAAGGGACAAAACTTGAGCCAGGAAATGAAGCCAAGGAAAATCAAAATGCTACTGAAATTTCTCAGCCAGCATCTGATTCTGAAAAAAATGCTTTAATTGAGAAGGAAGGTGATGAGAAAGATGCAGTAATTTTGTCCAATGATGGTGGGAAAAAGGATGAAAAAGTAAATGTTACCCCCAAGGACAACCCTGAGCCAGGGAAAGAAGTTCAGGTAAGTCTAAATAATAGTGAAATTTCTCCTGCAGCTTCTGATTCTAAGACAATTGCTTTATTTGACAAGGTTGATGAGGAAAATGTAGCAATCTTGTCCAATAATGGTGGAAATAAGGATGAAAAAGTAAATGTCGCCCCCAAGGACAACCTCGAGCCAGAGAAAGAAGTTCAGGTAAATCTAAATAATGCTGAATTTTCTCCAGCAGCTTCTGATTCGAAGACGGTTGCTTTAATTGAGAAGGTCGATGAGGTTTCTGCTGCCGAAAAGGGTGAAGCTTCGGTCCATACTAAAGATACAGAAATCTTGCCCGACAGTGATGGAAAGGTTGAAGAAGTACATACTGCCTCGAAGGACAATTTGGAACCAGGGAAAAAAGAAAAACTGAAGGATACTGAAGTTTCTCCACCAGTTTTTGATTCTGAAAATGTTTCCTTGACCGTGAAGGATGGTGAGGTTTCTGCTGCAGAAAAGGATGAATCTTCAGCCTTCATGAAAGGCACAGAAAACTTGTCAGAGAATGGTGGTAAGAAAGATGGAGTGAATGCCGCCGCTCCAGAGGACAACTCCCTCCATAACTATGATGATGGTAAGGCACAGTTTGAATCTTTTCCAGCCAATCGGTAAAACCCAAATTAATAGTTTCATGTTTATATGCTACATCTCTTGTGTAAGCTTTTATTGTAGGCATGAATAGCTTAAATGTTTAGTCCTATCCTGTATCAGGTAATCTTCTCATCAGTCTTTATTCACATTCTGCTACTCGTCACTGTTATCTGTAATATGGTATTTTGGTATCTGGCACCCGTAGAAAGTAACATATGTGCTCATCAAATCTTCACGTTTGTAGCTGGCTCTAACAGTATATGGAAATCACCATGAAGCTTAGTTTAGAATAGGGACATTTGCATACATGGAACACAATTCTTATGCATTTACTACATATCTCACACCTAAACTTTTATATTATACGCAGCACTCAAATCTTTCAATATCATATAAAAAATAATATTATTTTCACTTTTTAAATATATCTTTTCATGCATAAGTTTAAAACACCAAAGTTTTATGCGTATGTAAATATAAAATTTAGGTGGGAGATGTTGTCTTATTATTATTATTATTATCATACCTAAGCTTGTATTAGTGCAAAGTCAGAGCTAGAGTTAGCAAAAGTCGCTCGGACCTTATCGTTACAAATGTAAGTTCCATAAATTATCTCCACATCCATTTATATTTTAACAAATAACAAATGAAATAAACAATCAACCCTCCCCAATCTTTGACACCAGCCCCAATCACTCAACAGCAACAAATGTGACAAACAATCAAACCATTTTCATTGCACAAACTACAATTCCTCCAAGCTCCGCCTCCCTCATCATACATCTTTCGACCGCCATCGCACCACTCGCATACCAAGAACTTTATTCCGCCGCACCTCCAGCATGGTAGTCCGCCGCTCTGGTCCCTCGGCATCTCTTGCAGGACTGGCATCAGTTTTCCTTGCTCATGCAGCCCCAGCACTTCCTCAGCCCCTCCGATGTCTCTCCCGTCAACAAATAACCTTGGCGGGATTGCCCCAAAGCCCAGCAGTCTTCTCAACTCCTCCTTGAACTCTCTGTGCATCGCCACATCCCTTTCATAGAACAACACCTTGGAGCTCTCCAACAGGAACCTGATAGCACTACAGCCCTCGAATGTCTTTCTTACTCCTCGAAGAGATGTCGAATAAAGAATCACAGCTCCAGAGCCTCCGGGTGGGCATTTTTCCTCAAATTCATTCAATACATAACGGATTTTCGGGATCTTTAATGGAGGCTCTACCTCTTCTTTCTTTTCTTGTTCTTCTTTTTCGAATTGCTTCAATAGTTCAAAGATTCTTAAGTAGTCCTTCGCCGCCTGCTCGAAGGCAGCGAGGAGGTTGGGGTCAAATAGGGTTGGAGAATTGAGATCAGGGCGGCGGTAAGGGTGGAATTTGTGATTGTGCTCGTCATCATTCTGCTTCCTCCATGGTAGCGGACTCCTCATTGTTGTTGATGCAGGTTTGATGTTTTCTTTATCCTCCACATCGTCAAGATCTCTCATCAACTCAGCTGCATCGATGATCTGAGGCTGATCTTCCCTGCAATCTAGCAGACGGGAGCTGGGCAGAGGAGTAGAATTGAAGAAGAAGCCATCGGAGGCCTTGAGTTGGAGAATGCGGCCCTGTTTCAGCTGCATTTGAGGGACGGATCTGAGCTTATTCAAGATTCCTCCCTTCATTGTCTTCATCTCTTAGGGTTTTATTTTCTCTGCCAGAGAAGAAGGATATATTGATTTGTTCAAGATGACAGATATGGGATGAAAATGGTGACGTTTGATGGAGCTGAGGGGTTGCTGTGCAGCTAACCTCTCTTAACCGGCCCCACCTTTCTTTTGTTTCGTTCCTGGCTTCGAGAGGATCCGCAGTGGCAACGGCTATAAAGCTGGAGAATTTTTGAATTTAAAACAGTTTAGGAAGAGGCAACGGCACAACGGTCATTATTCATTTATGCTCAGTATGTTGAGCCATTTAGGTTTCTATATTAATTTGGAGTGAGGTTATATTCTATACCAATTTAAATCTATTTTTAGAATATCACTATTAAAGTATATATTTTATTAGAAAATGTATTAAATGTTTTTAAACATAATTCTGTTATTTTATATTTTCTCAACTAATAATATTAAACTGTTGGGCATTTGATTTAGCAAATGCATATGAAAAGATCGTTATATATAGAACATAGTGTCAATACTAATATAGTATGATAAATACATATGATTAATTATAATGTTTCATTGGAATTTTCATAAAATTTAATGTAGTTTTTTAATTATAAATTGTCAAAATAAAATTCAAGATCATGCAATCATGTATTTTAGTGATCTTATAATTAAATTAAATTTTTAATGACAGAACTTGATGACAATATAAGTGATTTAGTCAAGTATAATCATGCATTTGAAGCATATATTTTACTTTTTTTTTAAAAAAAATTAGTATTAATCCCAATTAAGAAGTCATTCACCTTCTTTTTTCATATCAATATATATCTATAAATGTTATACATGCTCCTTCATGTAAATTAGTTATTTTTAAAAATTAATAATAGTAATAAATTGTATAGATATAAAACATTTGAGTATTATAAATATAAATTTAAAATCTATGTTATATTCTCTATCTAGAAAATCAGATGTGAACTGGCTGGTGGTTTGGTTCGGGCTGATATAAAAACTGCCCCCACATCGAACCGATTTGAACCGGCTTGGGAACCGGCAAAAACCTTCCTGTTTTACTCCTAAACCGGAAATGGTATTTTCTTACATTTATACCATCATTTTTTTTTTGTAATTTACATATTTAACGCTTGAAATCTATTTTTTTATATTTATACCACCCAAATCACTCATATCACATGAAAAATATTACTATTACAAAGAAATTGAATTTACATACGTGTCAAAAAATTATATTTATTGACAAATTTCACACCTAATTTTTTTTCTTACATTATTTATGTTTTATTAGGTGATGCGGTTGGGCCCCCGTTAAACCTCGATTCAACCTTTGAACCACGAACAACCCCTACAATCAGTTTGATCTGATTTTTAATAACTTGACTATATTAATAAAATAAGATATCAAAAACTATAAAACATACCATAAAAGTTAATTACTGGTAAACTGGAGAAAATATTATACCCAGATATTGTACGTCCGTCAGTCAACCACCGGTAATCACATCACCTTAACTCATGGAAAGAGCTTACCGTTTTGTTAATTTTTCCAACGCACAAATCGCAAAGCAGATCTAATGGATGAGAAAAACCTTTAATCCCAAGTGGTGATTTCTTAAACATGAACCGTTCATTGGGAATGAAGCATCCAACGGCCGAGAATCTCTGAACGCCGCGGAGATTGGGGAGATTCTAGACCGTTCCACGAGCGCAGGACGCTGAATACTGCATCGCTCTCCTCGCACTACTCCTCCACTTTATCTCTCTATAAATAGGAGATGCATCTTTCTCTTTTTCGCGGTTGCTGCTTGTACTGTTTTTCCTGATTTGATCGAATATCAGGCGAGGAGGAAATTAGGGTTTTCATCTGTTCGAAATCGAGTTGCGGAGAGGAGGAGAATGTTTGGAAGGGCGCCGAAGAAGAGCGATAACACGAGGTACTATGAGATCCTCGGTGTGTCGAAGAACGCATCGCAGGTGGACCTGAAGAAGGCCTATCGCAGGGCAGCCATAAAAAATCATCCTGATAAGGGGGGCGATCCGGAGAAGGTAAATAGTTACGATCGGCTAAATCGTTGTTTTTTTTTTTTTTCTTACGATGGGAATTGGATTTTGGACGTGTTGGGTATGTGTATGGGTGCGTTTCTGGCTTGGATGCTGTTTCGTCCTTCGATATTGCGCTGTTGTTTAAAAATGTTGATGGATTCTTCTGCCTGTGTTTATTGGATTGGTGCGGAGGATGTTTTTTTTTATTATTATTAGAATCGGTAGGGAATTTTATTTATTTTTGGGTTCGGATGTGATAATGGCAGGGTTATGTTTGTCCGTGGGTTGATTTTAGGAGGTGAGGAAGTTGTTTGCTCAGGCTTAGTAACCAGATCGGAGAGTGGATTTTGTTTGGTTGGAAAGGTTAGACGTCTACCGTGGGGAAATAACGTGAGCGACGTTGCTTTTTATTGCTATAATGTTTATCTAATATGTGCTGGGAACGATCTTATTACTATAATTGTTTTGGACAGATCATTAAGGAAAATGTGTGAATCAATGGTTATATGGGTCGGAGATTTGCTATAGGATTTGTGCGAAGTAGAATCCAAAATATTATATGTGGATAATGCACGTTAGGATATATCACCATAATACAATTGTATTGTGGTGACTACCGCCACAATATCACCATATCTGCACCTTTGCTATGTGGCGTTTCCTGATAGTTTATGTTAAAGCCTTAATTTTATTGTTGTCCAACCCATGTTTGACTTTTTTGACAGATACCTCATTAAAGGAATTATAATATTTGATTCTTCTGTTGTGAATAGGACACTGTTGGAGCTTTTTTTTTTCTTTAATAGGAAACAGCGTTTCTTGTTTTGGCAAATTCAATGATTTTCCTGATTAAAATTTGACAACCGTTAGTTTTATTCCTGGCTGAACAGTTTGATTGTTTACCCTGTTCGTCATGTTGTTGGATCTTCTATTGCTTATCAGATCATTGACTTAGATTTCAAATTTAAGGAGCATACATGAAGGGCTCTGTGCTTATTATTTTTGCTGTTTGACGCTTTCTTGATATTACTTTAATGGATGGATGTCGGAAAAATCTATAAATGTTCTTATTTAAATGTTGTCATGAATCTATCCAATATTTTTTTCTTTTATGTGCAAGACTTCAATATCAATATAAATTCACATGAGAACTTTCATATATGGTTTTGTTCTAGATCTGATGTGGATTTAAAAACCATTTTAAAATTGGACCACATAAGTTTTGCTTAAACAAGAAAAATTCAATATTCAATTTGAATTTATTTGAGGAACTAGTCTTATGTTTGGTTTTATTGTCATTTATCAAAGCCATATCTAATTTAACATCTCATCCCACATCAATAGTGATTGGTGGATTCTAATATTTTTTATGAGTTTCTTAGAAGGAAAAAAAAAAAAACTATGGTTGATGGAGAACAAAAATTTATACAACACAACCTAATAATTAATTGGATAAAACTAAGTTTATGTTTGGTAGACTACTTTTAATAGATTTACCTAATTGTTTAATGTAAATCCAGCCAATTACGTCCATTGCAATATAAATGAATCATAAAAAATGATTGATAAAATTATAATAGCTAAAAATTCAATGTAAATAAGGATTATATCTCTAACAAAAAAATGATTCGTTCGTCTATTAATAAGTAACAGCCATATTTTTTGAGCGATTTAAATTTTTTATTTTAATTGATGTTCAACCATTGATGATGTATGAAGTTTTGCGTGAAGATCCTACCGCTAAAAATTTTAATTTAGTATTTGAAGCATATTAAGGAACCAACATACGACGTATTCTTTCCCAACTCAAGCACATATTAAGAGAGATGAGTTGGACCTAAATAGCCTCATTTACAACTCCAATATCTAGATATAATTTTAGCCTACCTAGTTTAACATAGATAATAATCGGTAGAAGGTTACAATTCTACTCTAAGATTCATCGAAGTAAAATAGAATTATTAGAAATTAATAGCTTAATAATTATAGATAATTTATGGTTTACCTAGTTGTGATTTCATACTAAAGAAAAATAGGTGTTTTAGAGCTTGAGAGTGAAAGGAATGCTTGGCTAGGAGGGATTTGGCGGCTACAAGGGGTTGTGAAGCCCTTGCCTCTATTGATCTTACATCATCTTGAGAGATGACTACATAAGGCATCAAGGAAAAACTCCTCTCGAATGCACAAGCATATCTCAAAACGGCTTTGGAGAATGTAAGGGCTCTAATATCTAATGTTGCATACGTTTATAGTTTCTCTGTGAGATTTTGATGTGGACCTTCGCTCAGAACTGCAAATGGGTCAATTGACCTAGACATTGTTTTCTTCCATTGTTGATTTGTGGGTTTTATCTTGAGGTAAATAAGGAGAAGAAAAAAACTTGTTTTTTGTGTTTATATTAAGAGTGGGGTGAGGTGTGGAAATTGTATACATGACTTAATATTCCATTATCGATATCATGTGCAATTGAAAATTGAAATCCCATTCTAAGATTTGGATTTTTGAAGACATCAATATCAGTGACAAACTACTTAACATTTCCTTTATATGGAATTAGTGCAATCTTCTTGGCATTTCCTTTAGATGGTCATCAGCTATAAATTCTTCTAGAATTTCTCAATTCAATGCTTTGGACACATGCAAGATATCCTTTTTAGTTTTATGGAATTGTAGATTTTGCGGGCTCCGAAAATTCGCGGCCACTTCTTGTAACATTTTTTCACATTTATTTTATTTTTTTGTCTTAAGAAATCTTTGGAGAGTCGAATATTCAGATGACAGATTGGACTGTAGATAAGACACCACCCAAAGATTTTGCTCTTATTTTACAAAAAAAATTTTGATCTGGGGTTCGAGATTTCCTATAGGCGCAAACTCCTATAATTAATTATCCTGCCCGATAACAGGAGAGCACTTTCGATTAAAGTTAGTTATTAAGAATTGAATATTCAGTATACAATAGCTATGAACTTGGGATTTAAATTGTAGAATTCATCACTTGAAGCTTAAAGGTGATGGTGGGGGAATGAAGACGAAATCTGATCAATATTTCATGATTCTGTCATTTTGGGTTGTCCTAATCCTTAATCTATTTAGTTAAAGGAGGTAGTCGATCCAACCTGACAGAAAGATTCTTGTCAGTAGCCATGGGTTGCGTCGTCTAAGAGATTTTTGTAGATTTAGAGTGGATGTTTTGTGCAAGGGGATAAATTTTAGCCAGACCTTAGATCATAGAAGGTTTTATGTTAATCAATTGTATCTTTATATTTCACAACCTAAAGAGTCAAAAGTTATCAGGGAATATACGAGCTGCGGTCGTAACCATAATATAATAACGTCATCGGCGGCAAAGATCTGGTCAGAAGGTTCTGATTGTAAGTGCTACTTTGTGGTGTCATTTGACGGCAGAACCTCGTGGATAGAGGATTCTAATCACGTTCTTACTGACATGCAATTACTTTGATTGTGAATATATTGATACATTTGATTTGATATTCGCTCTTCGTGAGTTGAAGTCAATTAAAAGTTTTTCACTCTCAACAAACTGTTATTGAATTAAGTGATAAAAAGTTGGCCCCCTCCAGTTGAAATATTGCATCAACTCAGTCATAATCAGGGTATTGAACAATTAAAGCCTTTATATTTAACGGAGGGACATTTAGTTTTGTTAGATTAAGTTTTTCAAAGTATGTCCTATCAACTCCTATCCTTTATGTTAGAGGATCGAACTAGGTGATTTGACCTTATTGTCATCTTTAGAATTTAAACATTTATCTCAAAAGTATTAGACTCGTCATCTCATGTCCTTGTGAGGAGAAGGATCAGACTAGTGAGGTGGGATTCACAATCATATCCTATAGATAGGGCAGCCCAATTAGCCAACGGAACATTCTCAAACATAATATTTGATCATTTAATATAATGGTTGGAGCAGATGTGTACCTTCATATTTCATATATTTGGATAACTTAAAGAAATTTGAAACTTTGAAGTCTTGTGCAACATTTAAATTATAGCTACAATTTGCAATTAGAAAAGAGATTTGAAATCATATATCAGATTCTTATCTATATGAATATCCTAACACATACAAAATTTTAGGGAGTACAAAATAAATCTCCAAATACTATCAAGTATTTCAGATCATCGCACTTGACTTGGAAGCTTCGACGAAGTTTGTATAGACTTTAAATGCTTTAGTCATTTTAAAGCTATGAGCTTTTATTTGAAAATTATCATATGTAATGTTACATCTTTAGGCTTTAAGTGGGACCGCCTTCTCTTCGCTAGTAGAAATGTTGCGAACTAGTGACGGAAGACGGTTAATTTCAAAAATTTTTAATAAAGCTCCATATTTGAATTATGTTTCACTCCTTTCAAGAACTTAAGATTGAACAATTCAATTTTGAATTGATTTCCAAGCTCTGGGAGTTTAAATATGAAAAGCTTAATCTTTTAAAATAATTTCAAATTTAAGAGCTCAAGTTTTAAAATCCAAATCTTAATATTTTAAACTTTAAAAATTTCTATACTTAATAGCCCACAATTTTAAAATTTTTAAAACCTTAAGAGCCTCAATATTTAATAGCCCAGATTTTAAAACACTTTTAAGCTTAATGGAACTATATTTTAAAAGAACAAGAATTTAAATATATATTTTTTAAAATACTAAGAGCCTACATTTCAAAGCTCAAATTTTTAAAATTTTAAAATTTCAAATGATTCACATTTCATTTTTATTTTTTAAGCCTAAAAATTTTAAAAAAATTCTTATTTACAAGTCCAAATTCACCCAAAAATCCATTAGCGCTGGAGGATGTCAACCTTCCCAGCTATCTTAAGGGACGAGCTGGTCAGTATCGCGAGACACTACGGCCGAGGAGCAAAACATGCAAACTTAACTTGCGATCTTAAAAGATGTAACCGGCCTTCAATATGTCAGACAAAAAAAAGTTAGCTCCTAAACTAATATTTCCAGAGTGATATTTTTTTTTTCCTGAGCAGTACTCAATTACCCATGGACAAGTGAATGCTTTCTCACAAGTGGGTATTTTAAAATTCCTATTTTTTTAAAAAAAAATTTCCAAACAAATCCGTATTTTTTCAGGAATGGTACTTAATTTCCCTATAAACAGGTACTCGTGCTTCATCAGTTGAATATTTTTAAAATTTTTCCTGCATTGCCCAAAAAATGTATCTTTCGGGCCCAACTGCATTGATGGCGGAGATAACAAAAAACATAAAATAAAATTAACCCAACAACATTCCATCATAGCTTTTCTTTCTTTTTTTTTTTATACAATGTACAAAATGAAATAAAACACAAATACTAAACATGTAAGTAAATAAACGAAGGAAATAAAACATTGTTTTTGCGCTCGGGTCAGTGTATTTGGGTGTCGAATTGGCAAAGATTTGGAAAATTTAATTCAGCATATGACTCAAATGTGAATTCTTTGGGTTAGCATATCAGAGCTTTCCTTCATTTGATTAACATGAGAAGTGAAGCAGATTAGGCAGAAGCTATGCTCGGGGTTGCATGAGAATAGGTTAGAGAAGAGATCAAGCGAAGAATTTGATTAACATGAGAAGAGTAGGCGGGGTACTATCTTTTGTGGCAGAGAGGAGCGGGCACTGAGAGATCGGGCCGCGATAGAGACAAAAAGGCTTTTGTCATGCGTGCATTTTGAACAAGGAATGAGAATGAGAGGATTTGGAAGGCCATGACAGTCGTGCGTATAATGAAGAAGATAAAATAATATGAATGAAGTAAGAGGATAGCGATTTACGTTGCACGGCTTTCGAATTGGAGGGGAAGAACCAAGCGGGGAGGATCGCAAGAGAGGAAAATGAATGAAGAGTAGGAACAAAAAGGAACTGAATGGGAGAAAACGTGTGAATGAATAAGCGAGGGATTTCTTTCGTGAATGAAGAGACAATTAATTAATTAATTAATTATAATTATAATTTTCTTTTTTTCACCTTTTTTTTTAATTTTTTTTTGACGGTCAACAAATATGCCCTCACTCATAACTCTACTCTATAACTACTGCACTTTCGGAAGAAAACCAAACGTACTAGTGGAAAAAATCTCCCTTTTTAAGTCATCCATTAGTTTCCAATTGTGTTGGGCTCTGCAAGAAAATGGCGAAAGTGACAAATAACTAAGTAGTCCGGTCAAATCTTCCCTCATTAATTATATGCAGTATTGCACGCATTGAATAAATAAATGTTCGGAAGAGAAAAGTTGCTGCCCAAGCTAATTAAATACATATCATAGCAGTAATATTACTGCAATTATTATTATCATGACTATCCGTAATAACACATCTGTATAATTCTTCACAGTTGAACGAGCTTCAGCAAAATCTCTTCTTTTCAAGATGAACTCGAAGCTGGCTATGATTCAAGTCAGCTAGCTGTCACACTGAACAATCTTCTTCAACGGAAATTACAGATACTGAAAAAAAAAAGTAGTCTTCAAGTAGAATCAAAATCATATAGTAATGATCTTGGTGAAGCATACCTTAGAACATAGTTACCATAGTTCAATTACTAGAACACAGCCGGCGGCGAATTTGAGGGAGATGAAGAATTGACCAAGTTCAGTATACTGCTCCAGTAGCTCTTGTTCTCCTCCCCTTCCCCCTCACCTCCTTCCACATCCACACAACTGCCACCTGCATTATCTGAATCATCACAACTTTCTGTTGAATTCTTCTTATTTGTGTTACCCATTGGCATTCCAGTATAATGAGCCTGAAATCCACCAGCGCAAGATCGACCAAGCCATGAATTCGCTTCTGCATCAGCAAAAGCTTCTGCTGTGTCCAGTAAGAAGCCTGACTTCTCTCCATTGCTGTCATTATTACTCCCCACGCCTTGTATTCTTAGTGGAAAAAAGTTCTCTGAGAAGCTAAGGGTGGAGGTTGGCGATTCAAGATCAATGCTTTGGCTTCCAGCTTGGCTATTATCTGCAGGGTTGGGCCACACACCATGCCAAGCTTGCAGCACGTCCAGTGAGGGAGATGCTACTGTAGTCATGGTGACAGGAGCTGGTGGTGAAGGTAGATGCTGCTGAGGGAAAGTAGGAGGAGGAGCACTGCTGCGGAGCTTGGACTCACGCACAAGGCGAGCCTCTGCCTCAAGGCGGGCGCTTTCCCACTGGGCCATGTGGTTGAGATTAGCAGTGCTCCGCGCGTGACCATCTGCAGCCGCAAGACCATCGCACTTGGATTTATGTGTCACTGGGTCGATCCCCAACTTTGCTAGCTGCTTCTTTAAGTGTGTGTTCCAGTAGTTCTTGATCTCATTGTCAGTTCTCTTGGGAAGGTGCGTTGCAATTGCAGACCACCTAAACAGAACAATCAGTAAATTTAAGAGCTGCAAATTTCATTTTTTATTTTTTGAAGATTATGCAGATGTGTGCTCACCTGTTACCAAGCAGAGCATGAAGCTGGATGATGGTTTGTTCCTCCTGCATACTAAACTTCCCCCTCTTGATATCTGGTCTGAGGTAGTTTGTCCACCTTAACCTGCAGCTCTTCCCACATCTTTGAAGGCCTGTTCAGTTTTAGCAGAATATGCAAAACATAAATCAGTGGTAGAAGAAAAAATTCACAGGAATTTTGAAATGGACTCACCAGCTTTGGCTGGCAATGCTCTCCAGCTTCCATGGCCATGCTCTTCAATGTAGGAAAGTAACTTTTGGTCCTCCTCTGACGTCCATGGCCCCTTCTTCAAGCCAATTTTCTCACAGCAGGGAGATCTGCCCATATTCTCTGTCTTCCAGAGTTTGTCACAGGTAAGGTAAGGAGATTCAATTCTTCTACGGGTCTCTTAGGAATGAATTCTCAAGCAAACGGGACTGAAGCTCTGCATAAGGGATAAGTTGGCCAATGGAGTGGGAGGAGGGGAAGGATAAATAGTGCAGAGTCGAGGGAAAAAAAAGCAGTCAGCAAAAATAAATGCAATGTGGACGTGTATAGTTAATTTTACAGAGCTATCCTAATGCATGCCTTTTCCTTTTTTCCTAAAAAACATTGCAGGGATTTTATATAAATGTCATTTTCTTTTTTTGAAGTACTGGAATACTTGGCGGCATATCCCAAGAATTACCTTCAACTGGACCTTTAGGTCCAAGCAACCGTCCATTCTGAAAAATTATTAATGATTATGAGCTAATTTCACATCAACATTACAAAATGTAATTCTGATGTGATGGCGGTGACGGATCAATTTGTTACTGGTAACAAGATCACTTTTTTAAGACTGTTATCGATAAGAGACATATGCCGGGCAATTGGCTGTTGACACGTCGTGTTGGGCTTCACTGCTGCAGAGAGTTGTGCATCCAGCTAGAGGTGGGTATTGAAGGCAGGCTTTTCTTTAGCAGTGTTTCCGGTAATCTTTGTTTTGTGCAGAATCATGCATTCGGCCCTCGGCTAAACCAATTTTGAACTAACAAGTTGGTTGTTCAGGTTCAATAAATGCAAGAAATTCATCAATTGGTTAGCTGCACATGGCACAACTCAGTGCGATAGATTCCCGTGGCTGAGCTTGTTAAACCAATCCATCTCTGATAACTTGTCTGAAGTAATTTAATTATAATATTTCAAGTGTGAGTAATAGTAATGTACGTGTGTGTGTCTCTGATAACTTGTCTGAAGTAATTTAATTATAATATTTCAAGTGTGAGTAATAGTAATGTACGTGTGTGTGTCTCTGATAACTTGTCTGAAGTAATTTAATTATAATATTTCAAGTGTGAGTAATAGTAATGTACGTGTGTGTGTCTCTGATAACTTGTCTGAAGTAATTTAATTATAATATTTCAAGTGTGAGTAATAGAGTCTCGACCATTTCTCATGCGTATAAAAATTTGAGTATCACACCCTACTCTCCGGGGGAATCGAACCCCAGACCAGAAGAAACTTACAACTGACAAGCAGATGCCCAACCAACTGATCTGAGTACGTGACGCATATATATATACATATATATATGTCGTAGAAAGTAGTTATATCATCTCAAGTTTATTCTTCCTTTCATCCGCTCGATTTCTGTGATTCCATTATGGACAAAGGATCTCATTCGGTGCTAAAACCCACAGACCAGGCTAAAGTGTTGGTTGTCCTTGGTATAAGACAACGTCCGCATGAAGATTAACATCTTTTGAGAAAATAGGTTGAATGCCTTTTTCCTTTGCTTTTATTCTAATAAATAATAATATGTACAATCTGTTTTAGGTAACCTAATAAATATACATACTCTAAATATATTCAGCTATAAGGAAAGTATATGTACAATTAACAAGAGAGGTAAATCACGAGAGATAAATTGAAAACAATTTAAATAAGGAAACTCCTAATTATAGGAAACTCCTCAATCAGCTGTCTGATTTATGATATTCTTAATTAATATCCCCCCTCAATTGATGTTGACTGAACAAAAATCATCAATTTGCCAATAATAAACTGATGACGCTGCCCAGAAAGAGCCTTAATAAATATATCAGTTGTTTGAAGACCTGAAGAGATATGAGGAAGATAAACAACACAATTATCATAAGCTTCTTAAATAGAATGACAGCCAACTTCAATGTGTTTCGTGTGCTCATGAAAGACAGGATTAACAGTAATCTTGGTAGCACTAGTATTAATTGCATAAAGAGAAGTAGATTCAAGTAGACTAAAAACAAGCTCAATCAGCAAACCCAGAAGCCAAATGATCTCAGAACAAGTAGAGGACATAGCACGATATTCAGACTTAGTAGAAGACTTAAACACTCGATCTTGTTTCTTACTCTTCCAAGAAATTAAAGAGTTACCGAGAAGCATACACTAACTAGTAATAGATCGATGTGTATCAAAACCAGCTCAATCAACATCATTATATGTTGTTAAGTGAATAGGAAATTTTGCAGAGAAGAACAAATCATGATAAAAGTACCTCTTAAATGCCTAACAATACGTTGAATTGCAATTAAATGAAAATATGTAGCAGCTTGCATAAATTGACTAACCTGTTGCACAACAAATGAGATATCAGGACGTGTAATAATTAGATAATTGAGACTCCCGTCAATACAGAGAGATGGATTAGATAGAAAGCCAACATTATTCCGTTGATATTTAACATTCACTTCCAAAGGAGCATCAACAGGACAACCCTCTTGGAGACCAGTCAAAGCAATGAGTACATTGGTATAGTTCTGTTGATAAAGAAAAACACAAGCGGGATACGAGTGAGCCTCCGGACCTAAGAAATAAGTTAAAGACCCCAAATCCTCCACATGAAAAGAACCCTAAAGAAGCTCTTATAACTGAGACATCAATTCAATATCAGATACGATGATAACAATATCAACAGACTAATAACAGAACAATTCTCTTCTCAGCCTTGTAAAGAAAAAATGAAGAATCATATTGACTTTGAATAAAAGAGAAACTAGGAAGAGTTTTGCGAAACTTTTCAAACCAGACTCGTGGAGCCTGTTTCAAACCATATAGAGAGTATTTGAGTTTACAAACATCATGTGAGGGTGTGGAAAACAAACCTAGAGGAGTCATATAGATATCTTCCTTGGGGTCCCCATGTAAAAATGCATTCTTAACATTCATCTGTCGTAAGCACCAGCATTTAGATGCAGTAATAGATAGAACAAGCCGAACAGTTGTCATTTTTGTCACAGGTGCAAAGGTCTTTTCATAATCAATCTCATATTTTTGTCGATTGTCACGAACTACCAATCTTGTCTTATATTTGTCAAGAGAACCATCAAATCGGAGCTTAAGAGAATAAACCAATTTACAACCAATGAGTTTAACACCTGCAGAACATTAAACAATATCTCAAGTGTAATTGTATTGAAGTGCCTGAAGTTCCTCTTGCATGATTTTTATCCAACAAGTCTGTTTAGCAACCTGAAAATAAGAGGCAGAAACTGTAGTATTAGTTAAAATTGCAGAATAGTCATATCTATTTGGAGGACGAATGTGCCGAGTTGATTGTCGAAGAATCATTGAAGCATTTTCAGGAGCAAAGTCGGGGAGGACTGGAGATGAAGAAGGCAGGCGTCGTTTGTAGACCAGCCCAGGCTTTAACCGTTTATTAAAAGAAAAATTATCAAAGTGAGGAAGTACAACAGTATCAGCTCTCTTGAAAGAGGGTGCTGAAAATAGTATTCATGTTCAAAAAAATCACATCCCGAAAGATATGCTAGCGATTATTAATTGAATTATAACACAACCTTTATGATTAGAGTTGTAACCATAAAAGCACATCGAACTGATTGGGCTGCCAACTTATGACGTTCATAAGCAGGTAAATGAACAAAACAAACACATAAAAAGTAAGTAGTATATAATATTTAGGATGTTTACCAAACATTCGATAGTAGAAGAATAAAACTTCAATTGTTGAGATGGTAAATGATGAATCAGATAAACTGCAGTAGATAAAACTTCAGTCCAAAACTTAGTTGGAACAGAATATTCTAACAGCAAAGTGCGCATCATATCCAACAGATGTCAATTTTTTCATTCTGCAACTCCATTTTGTTGAGTTGTATAAAGAGATGAACGTTGTGAAGTAATATCCTTGTTATGGAGAAATGCTTGAACCTCATAAGACATGTATTCACCACCATTGTAGACTGTAAGGGTTTAATACAGGTGGGGAACTGAGTTTCAATATATGTTACAAAGGTTAGAAACGCGGTAGACACTTCTTCTTTGGAATGTAAGAAATAGATCCATGTGAATCGACTGTAATCGTCAATAAATGTCACAAAAATATTTATACTGAGCTTGTGAAATAACATGTGTAATTCCCTGAACAACACTATGAATAATGTCAAAACATTTATTGACATGACTACCTAAAATAGGAAAAGACAATGTCTTACTTTTGCCTAGTTAACAAGAGGAATACTCAACTAATAAACTTTTATCAGTAAAACCAAAACATCACTTTACAACAAATGATTCAAAACAATATTATTTGGATGACCAAATCGTTTATGAAAGATGCAAGCCTTATTTTCAAAACTTGAAGCTAATGACAAAGTCTGAGGGACGGTAAATTGTATTGGAAATAACCTGCTCACTTTAAGCTCATTCACTGTCACCTTCCCCGACACCAGATCCTTCACAATACCACCAACACACAC